ACGAAAATAATGATAAAACTATATTATCATTTCATTTGAGAGATTTAAAGAAAAATATAATTACATGTACATTACATGGCACATTAAACATTAATATGTTGTAATTTTGCACATGCATTTAAGGTTTAATGTATATAGCGCATGACTTGCGTAAAAATTTATAGTCAAATATCAATATTATATAAAATCAGAACGAACGCTGATAAGATCTTCGTTATACATACGTTTGTTTTTGTATAAACGATCGTTGTTAATTATAAGGTACATCGTTGTACATACACAATATGTCAATGTTAAGCACGACATGTTGCCTTGTGCTGCGTTGTGTTACTGAATAAACAACGTATGGTATACTTACAGGCAGTAATAAATTTCTAACATATACCCTCATTAATGATACTCAATTAAGAGAAAGGGTATACCAAGGATACACCAAATAAACTCGTAGTTAGTAAATTTCTTTTTTCCTTTCTATCGAAAGAATAATCGAGAATCACTAGAAATATAATAATAATAATAATAATAATAATAATAATAATAATAATAATAATAATAATAATAATAATAATAATAATAATAATAATAATAATAATAACAACAGTAATAATGATACAGAAAATCTCTCAAAGAAGTGAACTAAATATTGTTAAAAAATTTCAAGAAAAGTATTAATTAATTATAGGAATATTATATTTTTATTTTATCATTTTCAATGAGTTCAAGTGATTTTCCTTTTTACTTTTTATCAGAATCTTATCACAACTTTTATAAGTCTACCTTCAATCTGGCAATAACTTCGAATCAAATTCTGAATTTGCATGGTAGTTGGAATTTAGATTTAAACGACAATTTTATTTCTTTTTCTTTCGTTCTTTTTCATAAACATATCGCGTGTGGATAAATGGATAAATGTAGTGAGTGTATAGAAGTTGACTATACAATTTTCTTCGATATCCATCCCTTTTTCTCATCCCTTTTTATTTTCTCTGAAATCGTTTAACTCGGTCACGAAAAGCAGATGTTAATCGAAACCATTATCATTCGTCAAAAAGCTTTCATTTCTTTTTGTTGTATTTTATGGAAAATCGACGAATAATTCACAAAGGAATAAACGCTTTTGAATGAAATTTTTAGATATGAACAATTTTTATTTCATTCTTATAAAATTTCTTAATTAAAGTATTCTTAATTAAAGCAGAGAGTCCGATAGCAGTTTCATAAAAAGTTTTATATTAATCTCCAACGTGCGAGCACTTTTAAAGTTTCTCGTGAACGATCAAAAAGTATTTTGGATTTGTTCAAAACTCGGAATGAGATAAAATAATGAGAGAAAAAAGATAAAAGATTTATATTATAAGAAGTCGAACGTAGAAATAAATACAATTGTTAGACGCATAGTAATTAATTATTGGCGCTGCAAAATATATTATAAAATGGAAATACTGAAATATTGTATATCATTAAAGTTCATCACTAGGTATTAAGAAAAACTAGGAAAAGGATGAGATGAGTATAAAAAAAAAAATAAACTCGTGCCACATTGAGGGCGTGTTAATTAATTAAAAGAAAAAATGTAATTTAAAATGTAAATTCTATTTAGATGATTTTATCATAAGAATTCTCACGTGGGAAACGATTTATCGATAATTAAATATTTTTCTTTATCATCGTAATTTTACGTTTTATTTATTTGTCTGATCTATTAAACGATTATATTATTATTTCAAATTATATTCTCATTCAATATATTATTAGACTGTCATATTAAAATATAATTTTTATATATCCTGGTTATATTTTCTTTATTATACATTATAATATATCAATTAAATAAAAATATCTTCTATATTATCATTAATTATTCATTAAAATCATTATGTTTTGTACATGTAATATCACCTTCACTATTATCACAATCTCGATGTTCCCATTTAACCAGTTTACAATTTATTTGAGTCTTGTGGATCACTATAAAACGTAGTTATTAAAGGGAACGTTTTGAGCTCGGTAAAGAACCGGAAGTACGGGCGCAAGGTCGAGATGAACGTCTCTTAAAATGTCTCTTCGAGACGCGGCACCTGACACGATCTAACCTAGTGCTAGAAAGCTCGCCGGCACTCGAGATTGCGTCAGGTCCTGGCAAACGTGCCGAAAGAGATAAAGCGATGGCCGGTGCTCTTGCCGATATCTCTTCGTTCTAGCTTCTTTCAACGAGATAAAGACACTTAACTCCTGGCTCAACTCTTTCAATTTCAATCGCTTTTAAGTCTACGTTCGAATCGACGACTCTTCGATTTTATTCTTAATGCATTTAGCCTCGATTTAATCCTTAAATGTATATAATCGCAGAAATAAAATATATTAATCCATTTATTACAAGTTTGCTTTTTATTCAATTTTGTACAAAAAAAACATTATGATATCTATAATTATTTTTTCGCTTTAATATTTTCTTCATATAGTTGGTATATACATATATATTCTTTTTTTTTTTTCTGTCAAATTTCTACAACAATAAATCACGCATTAAAGGGTTAATCATTAATTCTAATTCTAGGTTTAATTCTAATTCGAATATAGAAAAGTTATGTTAGTGGAATGAGATACGTTTTAGTTGGGTAGATTCAGAAATATTTTACGCAGTCAATAATTGAAAATATTTTATTATTCGAGAAAATCTCTAATATATGATATAACCGCAAATATAATATATATATATATATATATATATATATATATATATATATATACACATGTATTGTATAATAGACGCTGTTTGTGGATACATAGGTACGTGATAATGGAAGTTTGGTAGTCTTGACTAGACTTAACTAGATTGGTCCTTCGAGGTAACGACGTTGGAGTTGGAAAGGCATAAGATATAGGAAAAGAAGAAACGATTAGGATTAGGGTCAGATTAGACCATTTCAACGAACGACTTTTTACTTAATTATCTTTTCTGTCTCTAAAAGGCTTGCTCGAACTATACAAACTTTCTTTACCTTTCGTTCAAACAATTTTTTTTCTTTTACGACAAACACATCCTCGAACATTCGAATATTTTTCTTTTACTTCGTAAAATAAATCAATATAATAAAAAAGTCTCTCAACATCCATTCTTACCGTTTTTATGCTTCTACGCTTGTATCTTAATAACTAGAATAGGAATATGTCGACTCTGACTCTGTTCGTATTATAATTAATATAATAATTGTTTTGTAATAAGAATATTGAAATGGAAAACTATTCATACAATGTTGCATACATTTTTTAATGTTGTTATTAATAAAATATTACTGCCTTTTATTCCCTTTGCGAGCAATTTCTTATTTTTCTGACTATTTAATAATATGTAATAATATATAACAATATTAGAGAGAACGTTACAAGTACGAAACTCGCATATAATACTTATATAATAATAAGTAAGCAATTTGCATATTAAAATTTGTAATCATGATCGAATATGTATATTGTATTCTTCGATATATTATTTATCAGCTATTTCTATAAATAGTAGCTAAAAAATTCTCTAAATTTCTCGCTTTATGAAAGTTCGAAAAATTTTAAAGGAGACTCTTTATAAGAGCTTTGGACCCTCAATCATTTTAAACAACCCTAAATCATTTGTTTCATTTCTTACAAAAAATATCAGATAATAAATTAATAAAATTTGTTTAAACTTTATCAAGACAAAAATACATATAAGATAAAATGTTCATTCGCTCGAATAAAAATAATGAATCATTAAATTGCACAATAAAATGATAATGAAAACAATATTAAATCTATCTTTAAACAGAATTAAATATATAAAACATAAAATTAGAATCAAAACGATATACAACGAATCATCGACTATATAGATAAATTAAATAAATACTTATATACATATGTAGATAGTGATATTTGTGATAATATGTCAAGCAAAATAGAGGAATATATTTTGTCGAGTTTGATCGATGTAGGATCGCGATGGGGTCGACTTATCGTTTCTGGCCATTCAGTATCTGGCGTTCTTTTTTCTCTCCCCAACTTTCTCTATCATTATTCACCATCGCAACAACGTTATTTCAACGTTTTCTGGTTAACGACAGTAGTCAAGTCACCGTGGTTTTGGCCTTTTAAATCTTGTTCGTTCGACCGTGAAAGATGTCGAGAGTAAAGGAGCAACGATTGCTTTGTCAGCTCGATCAAGTCGATCGAAGGATCGTTTTTTCTTTTTTTTTTATCCCTTTCGCACGTTCCTTCGGTTTCCTCCAATTCCCCAAAAAGGATGATAATCGAGCGAAAAGCATAGAATGAGGTGAACTAAATCGATCCTCCGAAAGTATTCTCGCTCGTATTTATTTTCAGTACTGGCCGTCAACCGCATCCGGACATTCCTTTTATTTCTTTCATCAACGTAACGTTGATCTTTTCTATCAAAAATGCGATAACGAATGAGCAATCTCAAGTATCGACGATGAGATAATATAGTAAACACAATATCGCTGACTTTTTCGAAAATTCTTCAGACAAAAGCAAGGGAGAGAAAAAAGAGAGGAAGAGAGAGAGAGAGAAAATTTACCCTATGATCATCCACATTGTCAACGGAGAGTATAGACTTCATATAAGGGTGGTTAAAGAACTCTTCCCCTTTCTTTCTCTCCCTCTCTCCCTGACCCCTCTCTCTTTTAGATAGAATCGCTTTCAAAGACTCTTGATCAGTGAGTAGACACACGTTATTCCGTAATGGTGCGTGAAAATAAAGGGAGACCATGTTAAACTTGAATAACCGCGATCCATGTGAACCCTCGACTTATTATTTCCTCGATTCGATGACATCGTTTTTTTTTCTTTTTTTTTTATCTTTTTTTTTTTAATAAATAAATTTCAATAACGAAAGATCGTTAATGAGATTTTACTAAAAAAAAAAAAAAAAAGGAAGAAAAAGAGAAATCAGAGAAATGTCATTAACGATGTAAACTTTGTATAAAGATGTTTTGTTTTGTTGGTTTTTGTCTTTTCTTTTTTTTTTTTTAATCTTCAAAGAAATTTGCAAACAAATAAATAAGAATTTAATAAAATTTTATGTATTTTTTTTCTCGCCGTTCAACACCCCACACACAGTGTCATCAACACATTTATTCAAATCTTATACGTACGTTATACAGAAACTTGTCAGCACACACGCACACACAATTACAGTCACAGAATGGGATATCGGAGCACTGACTTTTTCGTTCTATGAAAAATCAGGTACGTTGAATACGATTCTCTCAATGATCTCCCAAACTCCTTTTAAACAATGGAAAAAAGTTATTTTATAGAATTAACTAATTACTTTTTAATATTTTCTCATTTAAATAGGATTAAATGTTACCTTTGTTGTATAAATATTATACTTAGGATCCACGTGCACTCTCGTATACGAACGAGATGCATTTTCGAGCATAATGAAAATGGCCTTTAGTAGGTAACTTGGAGAAAGAGAGAGTGAGAGAGAGAGAGAAAGAGAGAAAGAGAGAAAGAGAGAGAGAGAGAGAGAGAGAGAGAAAGAGAGAGAGAGAGAGAGAGAAAGAGAAAGATAGAGAATAGTATTCCAAGAACATCTTCAACGTCGTCTAAGTCTTAAGATGATGCTAGGAAGCCGATGGAGCATCGTCAATTTGGCTAACGCGTTATTAACGCTGAACAACGATGCCATTCGGTTTTACGCGTTTCTCCGTGCTACGAAAACTTTCTCTCGAGTTTCTATTCGAAAATCCAAACGATTCGACAAAGTACTCTTCGAATGTAATTTTCGATGATCGTCGTTGAACTTTGAACTCTTTAACAGTTTTCTCATTATTCACCATTCGTTTGCCGTTGTCATAAAATATAAACAACGTTCGTTTATCTCAATAGATCTTGACTTGAAAAACAACTTCAACGAAATACTGAGAAAAAAGACATTTTGTTTGAAGAGTAAAAAAGAGATTTCATTCGCTGATACTCTCGTCAAGGTCATCTTCTTCGTCCTCTTCATCCCCAATGGATCTCGATCATCCCGGTGGTGTCTTTTTCTGCTTGCTGAGCTCCAGGAGAACAGGATAATGCAAATCGGCTGAATATTCCTGGCTCTGATCCAAGAGTTCCAGATGTCTCGACCAGACCTCGCTGTCGTATCGTTCGGTCTGCCTGGCTATGAAACTACGTTTGATCGCGGCTTCGGCGAATTTCTGAAACGTCGTTCCACGTCTAGGTGCTATCACCAGGGCCACACCGTCGTCAGCAAGCCAACCATAAATCGTTTCGACCAGGTCAAGCCTGGCATCGTCGAAGAAAAGACAATCTGCGCAGAGGATCACGTCGTAAGACCTTTTCTTGCTTGGTAGATCATCCTCCTCCTCGATGATGCGTGCCTGATAAAAATGGATCAAAGAAAAAAAGAAAAAATCTCGAAAATAAACGATAATTTCGAAAAACTCAATAAACGACAGGAACGTTACGTGCTATCGAATTTTATTGATATTCGTACGATCGAACGAATATCGAAGTATAAAAGAGACGATTCTTTGAAAGAACGTTTGAGTATCTGCATATATCTAAAACCATTCGATGAAAACGCTAGACCTTTTCAATCGGATCTATGTAATATTGACGAAACATTTATAAGCGGACAGAGTAAATGTTAATTTGTACATCTAAAACTCGATAGTCTGGTGAGAACAGATTAGATGATAAACTTTGAGATTTCTCCGAGGAACTATCCAAGATAAAAAGAAATAAATAAATGAACGAAGAGTATTTTTTATCGCCATCTTAAAGATACCATTTTCACAGATAAAAGCTATTAATTATTCTATCCTTATGAGTCGATGTGTAATTTTGTTAAAAATATATTCTTCAAATTAAAAAAAAAAAAAAAAAAAAAAAAAAAGAAAAAAGGGAAAAAAATGCTAGGAAGAAGACGTAGAATGAAAAAGCCGTCGATTTGATGAATAGACTCGATACTCGACATTGTCACGAATGTATTCTTCGAAAAAAAAAATAAAAATTGAATAAAAGAAAAAAAAAGGAAAGAGGCTAAACGTTAAGTACAACCGGAAATACGAGGAGAGAGCTCGGTACGATCTACACAGGAAGTCGAACTAAAGTCTAGCCGGAAACATTGGAATGGTGCATCATCCACATAGCTATTCACGCGCGTTCCGTCTGGTCTGTGATAGAGAAAACGACCCGGAAGTTCTGTACAAGATTTAGTATCCACGAATGAGCCGAACTTATAAAAGCTTCGTAAACTATCGATTCGCATAATAGAACAAACGTTTTTCGACTTGCTTGTTAACGGAATAACGTTATTATTAATTCGAACGATAAATGTGTATTTCCACGAACAAATTGATCGTATTATTATTAACTAAAATATAATCACTAAATAAATGGATAAAATACAAATGCAAATAAAAAGGATTATTAAAATTCTACCAAATGAATATAGATTAGCCTTCTTAAACCCATCGTATAAATTAATTATAAATTTTGTAAATATATATACGAAATATAAATAAATATATATATATATATATATATATATATATATATTGTTCATAAATATTTTATTATAATATATATTTCTATTTTTATATATGATATATATTTTTATTTTTATTTTTACTATAAAATTTCCTTGTTTCGTTCCTCGGAGCTCTTCGTTATTTTTTTATCGAACGAGGCACGATGTTCGAAATGATTCATCGAACGTGACGGGGAATGCATTACGTCGGGTCTTATACGAAATTGGTATGCGCATTGTCGAAGACAAGGGTGCACTTGACATTGTCGATGCCGATCACGTTAACATCGGTCAGAATGGCACACAACGAATCGCGTTATTCGGCCACGAGGGCATCGACCATGCGTTTCGAAATTTATTTGCTCTCTAATACTATGATCCATGTTGGAACAATTGCCGTGGACGTTCGATTAGAAGGCAAGAAAATATATTAATTCAAAATTATTAAAAAAAAATCAATAAAATTGTTTCAAAAATAAGAATATAGACATGCATGGGACTAGAAGACAACAAAAAAATATCATTTAAAAATTATACAAAAGAAAAACTACATAAAATATAGAATAATAGATAGGATAAGAAGATAAAGTATCATTGAGAAATAATGTAAATAAATGCATAATAGAATAGCGTTTAAATTAAAAAAAAAAAAAATAAAAGAACAAATATGAGTATATCGTTATAGAAACGATATCGTGATTGACTTTATGAGCGACTTTACGATCGACATATATCAAATAATCGGTCTTACTAATGTAAGAGAAATCGATTCAATCGAGATCAATAAAACTAAACGTATTGATCGTCGTAAAACTTTACGTAGTTCGATCGGAATGATCTCGAAAATTCGTAGCACCCTTTCGAGAGAAGATAATCACCTTTCGATTGCAATTGTTTGCGATAGCTTGCCTAAGAGCTCGTGCAGCCCTTGCCCATTGAAGAACCCCACACTCGACAAAATCAGCCATGTCGTTCCTCAGGACGATGCAACGAACGTTATCGACGCTGGTAACGTTGCCGTCGGTGAGCGTGACTGCACTGGGATTGCAGTATTTTGCAACGAGGATACCAGCAAGACAACTCATCCCACCACCAAGCTCGAGAACGCTTCTGTTTCGACAAATATCACGATTTTTTAGCAGATAATAAGCGAGACACTCCTCGGATGGCCAAACGCATACATTCCCAGTATTATTGAATCCAATCAGTTCATTCGCAGTAAAATTCTTGTTTATCCTTCGTATCTGAACTTCAAAGAGTTCGTTCTCCAACATGGCGGAATACTCGTACCAACAAGAGTCAGAATCAGTCACAGTATTCTCTAACAGTATCGGTTTAAGTAAGCCAAAACTAGTGAAACGTCGTACGGAAATCTCCTCATCTGATTCTGATTGATAATCCGAAGAGCCTGTTAAAGCCTTTGCTAAAATACGCCATCTTCTTTGTGCTGTATTTGACTTATTATTTCTTCTTGTAATCGTCGAATCTCGATGGGATAATAATTCTTCCGACATCTTTTTACTTTTTTGATTTATAAAAAATATCGCATTACAAATTCTTTTCAATGATTGGACATCAAAGCTTTCCAATCACTTTTTCAATCGTTTCTTTCTTATTTTTCTTTTTTATTTTTTTTTTTAAGTAAAGTTTCGTCTTCGATAGGATGAACAGGCACTCGGTAACAAAATCGTCATACTTCCAATCGAAGATATAATTTTTTTTACAAATGAATGAACTCGTTTATAAAGACGAGTAGCACGCGTTCTTGATGCACGAGGGTGAATTTCCCGCGTGAACGAAAAGAGGGTAGTTAGAGGGTTGATCGTAGAGTAAGCAGACGGGTAAGGACGAGGATGGACGAAGGGACGGGGCAAGACTAAAAGCACGAAGCCAAGTTCTAACTCGCGCCACGCGGATGGCAAGCGTTCTCCACGCCGCGAATCGGCGCTTGCGCGTCTCTTTTCGTTCTATCTCGCTTACTCTTACGAGCTCTCGTATACTCTGTCTTTTTCTGACTACTACGACCCTATTCTTCACTATCTCTCTCTCTCTCTCTCTCTCTCTCTCTCTCTTTCTCTCTTTCTCTCTCTCTCTCACTCTATCTATCTATCTATCTCTCTTTCTCTCCTTCTTTATATCTTCTCTTCGTGGGCTGAAACTGTCACTTTGTTTCTCGTTTCACACTCTTCTTTTTTTGCCTTTTTTTCTCATTTTTTCTTCTCTCTCTCTCTCTCTCTCTCTTTCTCTCTAAATTTTCTTTCTTCTTTTTCTTTGTCTTCCATCTCTTTCTTTTCCCTAAATTTATGTAAAAATTCACACCTAAAAACTCCTGAATCCTAATTAAAATGCAAGATAATTGCTTATTAAAAGTTTGATAAACTCACGAATAATTCGTTTTATTATCTCGAGTGTTAATGTCCTACCCGACGGATAATTCGTTAACAGTTAGATAAACTTTCTTTCTTTTTTTTATCTTCTTTTTTACTGATCAAAAGTTTAGATAAAAAGGTTTTGGGTATCGTGAAAAGTTTCGAAAATTAGGCTGATCGATAATTCGCTCCTATTTTGTTATATTTCTTCTTCGTGATTTTATATATATATATACATATATATATATATATATATATATGTATGTATGTATGTATGTATGTATGTATGTATGTATATATGTGTGTGTGTATGTATGTGTGTCATAGAAACTCATTGATGAATGATTACTCCTAGTTCAATGTGACAAGCATATTTGGTAAATCTTATGGCAGAAAAGTAAAGTTGGAAGTCGAAGAATTATATGCGAAGTGAGAAATATCTTTCGAAGTAAATCTTCTGATGTCCCTTTAAATTCCAACGGATTCCCTGAGTTCTGAAAAAATTCCTTATTTATCGCATTCTCCTCGCGAACTTTTCTCGTTGAATCCTTCGTAGAAAACTTCTCGACGAAATTCGATCGAAAAAAAAAAAGAATCGCAGTGTAAAATAAAAAAGGACAAAAAAAAAACAAAACGAAACCAAAGTCAATTTTCTCGTTACTTTTCACGACAGTAGGTGTCAAGAGAACATGCTTTTGGAAAAGAGAAAAAAGTAATATTGTTCGTTTACCAATGTCTGTAGCAGTCGTGTCACGCGTCTGCTTTTACCACTGGCACTGAAAATCTAAGCCGCGTAGCTCGAATATCGTGCCAGCCATGTTCGTGGACATTAAACTGTCGCCGAAGCAACGTTTAAATCTTGGCCAAAGTCTTCGATAAAACGTGCCGGCGACCTGAAATTAATACGTTGCTCCGAGCGAACTTCTCGAAAGAGTAGGTACGCCTCTAATAATTAGTCGAACTTTACTTAGGAGGATATCAACCCTCTGTAACTTAATATAACTTTGAAGTCACATTCACACACATACGCACGCACGCACGCACGCACACACACACACACACACACACACACACACACAGAGGGGGGAGAGAGAGAGAGAGACGCACGCACATTTGTATTTTTTATATCTTATTTTCGTCACGAAATTAATTATTAATTAATATCTAAAAGTTAATTTTTTTTTTTGAACACAAAACAAGAAAATTGAATTCGAAAGAAGGTCAATTATTATTAACGATGAATTTTTTTTGAATTTTGTTTTGTTTTATCTATACTTGCATAATATAGGAAAGATGAAGAATAACATAGAACTTCATTATGAATTCATTCGGTACCTTATTATGATTATAATTATTATCATAATAATTGTAATTATTATCATAATAATTATAATTATTATTATACTTTTTATCCTCTTATTTAATATTACTTAATACGTTTTTTCGTTTTGTTTTCACTGTCAAAATTAATTTTTTATTCGGCAAATGTACAGTTTCGTCATACGCATAATAAACCAAACCATCAATACTCTATCCTGAAGCTTATACTTGCTCTCACTCGAAATCACATTACGCTAATCGATAATCTCATCTTCTACTTCTTCATCTTCCATTCTCGTTCCACCGTTTACGTCCCCGAAGCAATGAATCGTATTTTGACGTTGATTCAATTTTTTGTTTCACGATCGATACTTATCTCTCTTTCTATTTTTCGTAAAATATATTCTCTTCTGTGTATATCTTCATAATGTCATTATATATAATGTAGTTAGTGTCTCTCTTTATTTTATATGCCTATGTTTATCGTCATTCTAAAAATTGTTTAAATCGACATAGAATTTCATATATATGTATAATATGAACGTGTCGTAACATTTGCGTTAATTCAATTTCCCCTTTTGACATGTATATACGTATATACATACATATATACATACATACATACATACATACATACATACATACATACATACATACATACATACATACATACATACATACGTACGTACGTACGTACGTACGTACGTCCAATAGCTTTTCCATATTTCTCACTGCAAATCTACAGTTTCATAATTCTATTCACGTTGTATACACATTATAGATGATTCGAATTAAAGCTCGAACGTTTATAAGAGAGAAAAAGAAAGAAAGAAAGAGAGAGAGAGAGAGAGAGAGAGAGAGAAAGCTTGATCGTAAAGGATTATTTATAGACGTTAATATGAAATTCTCGAAGAATGCACGTTGTTTTATATAACAATTTTTCGATTTAATCACCGATTGCTCGTTAAAGGTTACAAATGAAAGAAAGAGGAAATTGAAACGAACGAAACGAATAGGTCGCTTCGAAAATCGTCGTTCATCTCGTTCGTGGCTTAGTAACTTTGACGATTAATCGTTACGTGATCGGAAAATGTAGGGAGCAATGAGTAAATACTGATGACGAAGCGGAATGTGCATTTACGTGCAGCCGAGAAACGCTGGTTCCATGTTTAATCGGAGAACGAGAAGAGAAACGTTCCAATCGAACTGAAACTATTCGTAAAATTACGATGACAATGTTACCGAAAGTTTGGAAAATTTGTTAAACGTTCTTATCTATCGTTTTGTGTCCGATTGATAAATTTTTATGCTATTTTAACTGATCAATTTATTTTCGAAATTATGAATATATAAATATTAACTTGATTCATAGATAATAATAATAACAATAACAATAATGATAATGATAATAATAATAATAAAAATGTGTCATTTATTTATGAATCAACGCAATAGATAACATTTGCAGCTTTTCTTTTTCTTTTCTGTGACAGTTTACTGTCCTTGAAACGAACAATTATTTGCAGAGATACTGCATTGAGATGCATACGTAAGACTGACAATGTAGTTCGATAACCGACTTCCATTACAGTTACGAATGTATACGTTCGCGATAAGACTTGCTGAGAAACTAGTGCAATGAAATCCAATTTCTTTGGATGCGTATCTTTCGATAATTATACAACTTTCACGTATGTAAGTTTTCGTGCCACCTAAATGCGGCCCAACAAAAATCAGAACATGATCTTACAATTAAACGGAAAGTTCAATGAATACGAACACAAATATTGTTGTGCTTATTGGTTAATTATTTCAATAGTCAATAGTTTTTTCATAATAATTTACATCTTCAATTGTTTCAATTCAAATTATTATTATCATTCTACTCGTTTTCTGATATTGTAATATAATTATGTGTAAACCCCAAAATGGAATATAAATTGAATAAAAACTAGAATTTGTTAAAAAAAAAAAGAAAAAAAAAGGAAAAAAGAAAAAAAATCATAAAAGTAAAAAACGAGAAAATATAACTGTTAAGAAAAAAAAAAAAAAAACAAGATGTGCTTTTACTAAACCGTACCTATGATACATAGAAAAATTTCTGCAGTTTCATTGCACTATCACAAGTGTTGGGTTTCTAGTTCCATTAACGATTTATCGACTGACAGACGCGTCAAAATACCACCGACCCTCTTCTCTTCGTACTTGACCCACGTCGAAGCTTATGTCATATTTACGCATCTCCCGAATGAAATTCTAATCCTTTTCCCATCATATGAGAAGGTCAAACAACGTCACTTAAATTTCTATTTTATTCGTCATATTTGATTACCAATAAAAATAATAAATAATAAATTTCATTTCAGAGATGTTAAATTGTATCATGTAATTTTTAGAAAAGTTTACAGTAATCGTCGTTTTATTATTAACGACATTCAATGTATATACTACAAATAATATATAAAAAAACATGGTTTCTTGAAAGTATGAATTTTTTTATTACATTCGATCCTAGAAATAAATAAATTCGTTTTCATCGATACTGGAAAAGACGAAATTGTAAAAAAAAAAACAAAAAAAAAAAAAAAGAAAGAGAAAATGAGAAAAGAGAATCAAAATAACGTAAAGATATTTAAGTGACGCTTATGCAAGCTTCGACAGCCTGTGGGTTTCTAGATGTATGTGTTTCGTATTGTTTGACACAAATAGAATCTAATGTCAGCAGCACACGCAGTTTCATTCAACCGTGAAACCAATGGGCTTTGCTCGACCGCGACAAATATAGTACTCGTTAGGACATGATAGGACGTTTTACCGTAGCTGTCTCGATGGAAATGGCATGCATTTTCAAAAGTACTCTTTATTAGATAATTATATATTTGTTTTTTTTTCTTTTTTTTTTATAATTAAATAAAATCATTCACGAAATTAAATTAGAATCATTTAAAATTTTCAATAATGCTATTTATGTTTTAAACACGATTATTAGATAATTGTAGATTCATGTTTATTAGATAAAATCATTTCTTTATTCTTTTATAAAAATTCGATTAGAATCATTTAAATTTTGTCAATATGTGCGCTAAACCTATATCGTTTATATATGAATGAGTCAAAATCAAAATGTTTTTTTGTTTTTAATTCGTAGACTTTTTCGTGCACTTCCGTTAGAACGGCTTGCATTTCGTCAGCATCTTCAAAATACAGTGAAGCGTACATACGTCGTTCGCGTCTCGATGCTTCATTTTCGAGGGAACAGTCGCTCGTTTAAAGCGTGGAATAACAAGTTCGAAAGATTCAACTCGTACAACGGGCCTTTCCTTGCGAAGAAGACGTAAACATTTCTCTACTGGCGTTCCACGTCTCTGAACATGTTCGCTGGACCAACGAATCATTTCCCATTGGGTTTGCTACCGTCATTTCTTCTTCTCTCTTCTCCGACATTCGTAGTTAGCTTCCGAAATAGCGACGACGTTTTGCTTAGATAGCATCGAATATCTGCATCTGTAGTATTTTCTTGACAAACCAAAATATATCATAGCGAATTGAAATGTTTTTGAACGTTAATTAATTAATTAATTAATATATTTTCTGTTAGATCATTGTTATAAATGGCCGAACTCGTATAAAAATATTCTTTTATTTTAATTTATACTTTTACTTTGTCTCAGGTTTTTTATTATATCGTTTATGGTTTATATGTCATAGAAAATCGAACCTTTATGATAAATTAATATATTTTTCTATATTTATTTATTTATTTATTTATTTATTTATTTATTTTTTTTTTAGTTTTAATTATCATTCTTAAACGATTAGACTTGTAAAAATACTTGTATTTACGTTATTTTTATCGATGTACATATGTATATTTATTTTTATTTTGTACCAATTTTTCATCTTTTATATTAATCTTTTCTCTTTTCTTTTAATTTGTTTTACTTTTATATCAAATAATTTGTACGGTATTTGTACAACACCGGATTGTTTGAAAAGTAATTTTTATTCGTATTTCTAAAGAAAATTCAAAGAGAATTTTTTTTTTTTAAAGTCATTTACGATGGACCGTATAATCTGATCAATTGAAAATGAATTGCTTTTTGATGGAACTTGACAATTTTCGCATTTTAACGAAGTGCATCTCTAAGATTGTATCAAAGTGATAATGAACAAGAAGGCATTGTGTCGAGAAAACCTTGAAAGTGCTGGCACCGGACTGCGTTTACCGATTGCGTCGAAGGTACTCTCGCCAAAGTCTTTGCCACCAAGGAAACTTTGCATAATCGGAAAATAGAAGTTCTTCTTCCTCTCTATGAGTTCACAATTTTTGTTCCAAAAATAAACCTATGATAAATTTAACAAACGATTGATCTTTCATCAAATAAAGGTAAGAAAAAAAAAAGAAAAGAAAAAAAAGAAAAAAAGAAAAGAAAATCATTAAAAAGAAAAAAAAGTTAATTCAAGATTGCATTTGAAAACGAACAAAAAGCAAATATATTATTGTTATTTATCGTTTCTTTCGTTTTATTGCAACCTAAATCTATAAGACGATTGAATACAAACAAATACGTATAAAAATGAAAAAGAAATAAAAAAGAAAAAGAAAAAAGAAACAGAAAAAATAAAAAGAAGCACGAGGAAAGTGCTTCGACTAATTCGTGACGTAACCACTTTGCCAAAAGCAGCAGTGCGGTGCGCGTCAGTCAAAAAGGCCGCATTTCTCCGCATCCACGAGACTGAGTCTGCAAAAGGAGTTCTTTGAACGATCCAAACGAAGAGATAAACAGAGAGTAATAGAGAGAAAGAGAGATAGACAGACAGAGACAGAGAGATAAAAACAGAGAGACAAAGATACAAGGAAATACAGAAGAAAAGATAAGGATTCTAGTTTCCCTCTTTCTCTCACTCACTCTCTCTCTCTCTCTCTCTCTCTCTCTCTCTCTCTCTCTCTCTCTCTCTCTCTCTCTCTCTCTCTCTCTCTCTCTCTCTTTCCCACTATTTCTATCTATTTATCTATCTATCTATCTATCTTTGTCCTTTGTTATAACACAACGATACTGCGGTCTTTCTGGCAAAGTGTCCCGACGCATTGCGTCTAAGTCCTCGCATGAAACTGGCCAAGCTTTAAAGCCATGACGTTATCCGTGAAGACGAAGAGGGCAAATACGAAGTAAAGACTCCTTTTAGCACTTGGCCAATACATACCGTTGCTTTTGTTGATAAGTGTAAACCCTCGCATCCACAAATATATATATATATATATATATATGTACACACCATATATTTAGGAAGAACAAAATATACACGTAATACACGAATAAAAAAGATGAGAAGTTTGTCAATAATTCGCAAATGTCGATCGCCAAACGGCCCGGATTTGTTCAAATGAAAAAAGAGAGCCATTATAAAATTTTTTTCTCACGTCTATTTACTATTAATGTTTCTAACATTATTATATTTTTCATAAGTTTAAAAAAAAAGATGATCGAAGCAATATCAAGAAAATACGATATGTAAGCTTCTACAAAAAATAAATAAGAATGAATGTATACACGGTAATGAAAACGCAGCCGTTCCGCATCCAGGAAACGGATTAAAGTAGGATTAAAGATGAATACGATCCTGCTCGCGAAATCGAAGCAGGGATTTAAACGCGAGTGGAAAAGTACGAGACAGAATTCAACCAGCGTGTAATAAATTTTTTAATTGATTTTGTTCAACTGTGTTTGTTGCCATTGGTTTTATCGTATCAATGTTTAAATTCGATTTTTCATGTGTTAAAAATATGTACTTGAATTTAAATACATCGTCGTATCTCGAAAAGAGAACAATTATTTTATAATAAAATTGGTAATGTCAGTTTTGTTAACGTTTTATTCTGTTCGAAAAAAGAAAAAAACAAAAAGATTAAATTAGTTTTTCTATAACAGGTATTTTTCATTTTACATCATAACAAGTCAAATATTTATAATTAATTAATCGAACTTCGTCGGACTCGTAAAATAACGTTTTTTTTTCTTTTTGCCTTTTTTTTTCAATATATATTTAGTTTTATTTGAGTTTTGTGTTAGTTCTTCTTTCAGCGCATCATTAGTATTAATCTTTTTTTTTTTTATATATATATTTAATTGTCTCTGTTTTTAATGTCATAAATTAAGCATTTAAATACGATTATTTATCAAGTACATTAAACATGTAAATATATTCATTGATATACCGTTCTAATCGTGTTAAGAAAAGATTTGTAAAATAAATATAAAATGTGTGCTAGACAATGGTAGGACAGATGGAACGGTGCCATCCAGTTGTCAAGGGACGGCAGTTTGTCCTGCGGGAAAATTAATCGGCACGACTAAATTCCGAAATTCAGAACAGCCTGATCGATGAGTGGACTCGAAACAAAGAGTCTTGTTAACAAGAGATACTAGCGTCTCGACGAGCCATAGGATGAATTGTCCGTAAATGATGACTTCTATGTGTGTTAGTGAATGAGCAACATTTTTATGTATGAATAACGAAATTCATTTTTTAAACGTTTGTTTACGAATCTAATTTACTTTTTGACAAATATTGAAAACCCGATCGATTAATAAAATGACGGGGAAGGGAAGGAGGTAGGTGGGAAAGCATATCGCCAAGTTTGATTTCAAAAATTAATAAAAAAAGAAAAAAGAAATTAAGAAAAAATTATTAAAAATATAATTAATATTATTATTTTTCTTATTAATATTAAATATATTCTTATCACATTATCATAGACATTACTTTTTTGACTGCAGTAATTAATGTTCGATGCAAGCATTAAGAAAATTAAGGGAAAGATTTCGTTTCGCAACGAACGATCTGACTAATGACTAACCCCGTTTTAATGGAGCTACCATAATGAAGTTAATTAAAAAGTACTTTCAGGAATAACGGTTTACTAGGATACATTTGTAACCTTTTAATGAAATTTAATAATAAAATGACATTTTTAAATAACATTTTATCATTTCGCGTTATGTTAAAAATCAGAAAAGATGAGCAAATTTTGCTTAAAATTTTAACGGGATACTTTTTCTATCTTTTCATTTGCTTTCAACTTCTTACAAATCTATAAGTAAATATATTATCAGGACTTATATTCTTATTCATATATCTCTTTTCTATACTATACTTGTATAATATTTTCAATCACAAATTTAGAAACAAGTTTCAATATATATTAGTAATGATAAAATATTCTTTAGATCAACAATAAATATTCAATAAATATTCTATAAATATTCTTTAAATCAATAAATCTATTAATAATAGTACAATAATAGTACTAAGTTTATGTCTATCATATAAAGCTATTATTAATATAAAAGTAATAAATTATTCAATAATCGATCTATGACAAATGTTTTGACAACATTCTAGGTTAACATATTGTATCAATAATTATTAAGATTAAGTTGAAATATGATCTAAACATATTGGAGCGAACTATATATTGTAAAAAATATATAATATTAATAGACTTACATGTTTCGTTGTTTGGTAAGGAAACTTCAATGCTACTTCTACCAATTGCTAAATAAGGCTGACAGGGTTTATATTCGTTCTTTAATAATATTTAAGAGAAAACACATAACTTATTTAATATCACTAGTATCTTTAACCTCAAACTTATTAAATGCAATTAGAATAACGAAACGCTTTCTTTATATCAATGAATTCAACGAATATTATCGTTATACGATATAAAGGATCATTTAAAATTTCTATTCACAAATTACATCAATTTTTCTTTCTTGTAATAAAATTACAATACACAAACAAAATAATTGTAACACGTATCACGATGTACACAGTATGATCAATTGATCCTCACTGGATTAAAGCAGAGCCATCTCTTAGCCATGTCAAAAAATACATTGTTATATTTTATCCTTAGAGTAACATGCATATAGGAACATTATTTGATGCTATTTAGTTCTATTTGGTTTTGTTATCACCAAGATTCATTTTCGTTCATGTTTTCATAAAAATTGGGATTTTTTTCTTCTAACAATTCATGAATAAATAAAATTTACATTTTTTTTTTGGTTATATTTTAAATATGATAAAAAGACTGATAAGAATTTATCTGGACAAGTACATATTTAATTACGTATATATATATATATATATATATATATATATATATATACATATATATTAATACATATTTACAATTGATGTCGCTAGGATTTTAAGAGAAAAACATGATCTTAGATTTAATTTTAAAAATATTTTGTTTAAAGTCATTTAAATATTATGTAAGCAATAATCAAGAGATTATAATCAAGAGAGTATAATTTGTTTATTTCTGATAGATAGCGTGCATAACAATCGTAATTTTGTTTTTCTCTTAAGAATTCTAATACTATTTCTCTAGTTCATGATTATTTGTTTAATGTTGGTATAGACGTTTGATTTCCAATATGGCTGCGCTTATGTATTAATTTTATTATGATTTTTGATTTGGCGAAACAATATTATATTTCTAGATTAATTCCGATTACAAAAATATATATATATATATATATATAAATGTTTTCGTTATCGGTCATGATATTTTATCGCCCAAACAGGTGTTATCAATTGACGAAATGTTCTTGCGACAGTGGTAGGGTATTAAGAATTGAGAAAGCATTTGGCAGCATAATCTTATTTGACGCTATTTCTGTGACGTAAAAAAGATCAACTGGGAACTCTATGACGATGAATAAATTGAGACTGGGGTCAGATTACATTCCCCTCACTGAAGAAGACATGTTGAAAGTTCGAGCGATTATTTCATTTTCAAGACTAGCTTGGGTTACTGTATCTATACCACTGTTTGCATTTATTTTCTGTATTATTTGGTCTGTACTTTATAATTTCGATCATGCTACTGCAACCCACTGTAAGGTAAAATATCTAATTAATGAAATATTTACAGAGACTAATTAAGAAGTAGAACAATTTGAATTAATGCAATTATTTTAAAATATATTATTTATTTCATTAGATATATATATATATGTATATATGAATTAGATTGGATTAATACATTTACAGTTAAACTTTCCAAGCTCTTCTTTATAGGTCTACAATTTTCTTCCATCGGTTTCTGCAACGATCGGCCATTATAGACCTCAAAGAGATGTTTGGAAATTGGCAATTGCTATACAAAGTGTAACTAGAATGTTAGTTTTAATTATGTATTATCGTTATTATAAAGAGCATGTATATAAATGGGCACGATATATCAGTAACATTGTCTTATCTACGTATATCGTCGAAAATATATCTCTAATAACTCTAAGCTTCTGGACTTCAGACTCAAACTACGGTATGTACTGGGACGTACATACATTTATACATTTATTTACATTTGCTCAGAATAGTGATAATAATGATTATTAATTTTTTTTAGCATTTCACAAATTATCATTTATAACATTTTTATTAATGTCTTCTATTCATATGCCATTATCATACTTTGTTATGAAGAATTGTTGTAACGTAACCAGAGATTTTTATGAAACTGCATCTATAAGATGGAAATGGAGGGCAATGATGTCAAATGTGTTGTCCATATTATTAGCATGTTATTTTTTTTATAGGCATAATAAATATTGCGAACCATTAGGTGAGTAGAAGAATTATAAAATAATAAATAAATTAGTATAATAAAATATGTACTTAGTAGCTAGAATACTTTTAATTTTAAATGTAGAAGCGAAAATGAATAGTTTTTTTATGATTTCAGTATATTCGATGTTCGCTTTGAGTGAATACGGCGTTGTTCTCTCAAATATGATGTTTCATTCGACAGCTGCATGGGACTTTGCAACATCTAGAGTTTTGATATCAGGGAATGGTATTAGATTGATTTAAATTATCAAATTATTTTGGAATACACATTTATAATTACATTTTAGATATTGGAAATATTTTATTTAACATATTCATATTTTTTAATTTGATTTTAATAGTCTTTTAATCATATGTACCTGATAGTGGTTAATATGTTTATTATATTAGCCATGGTATCAATCATGTGATTCAATCAAAATGGTAGATACTTGTGGAAAGTATACATCATATGTGTGATATCAAAATATGCTGATTTATTATAAATTTTTAGAGAAGGGTATTTATATATAAATATATATATATATATATATATATATATATATATATATATGTATATACATATGTATATACATACAAGAAAATAGGTAGAATGTAGATAGATATTTATCATCAATTGCTGTTATACAAAAATTTTAATACAAGAATATAAAAATTTCATTTCATTTTTATTTCTTTTTAATAAATTGTTTTATAAACACATGCAATGCATTATGTGATTGCTACGAGATATCAAGTACTAACTAATATATAGAAACAGCATAGGAAAATATATTATAATCTTATGATATATATTTTGGACAGTAACAGATTCTATTATGAAGTATAATTACTGTGTACAAGAAAGTGGAACTTTTCTCATTGCTGAGAAATTTCATTAGATCCTTCAATCATATCACAGAATATTAAAACTTGAAATTATTCTCCATTTTATCAGCAATGTATTTTGCTATGGCCATGCTACTCGTTGCAGCAGGTGAAGGAGCATTACGACAATGAAGAACTCTGTTTCCAATATTCCCATTTCCATTGTCAAAAACAAAGTCGTCTACCAGTCTACCATCACGGTCTAATGCTTGTGCCCTGACACCAGCTGGTCCTCTGAAATACAATGAAGTTATTTAAAATATTAGAAGAATTAAAATTGAAAATAAAAAGATATAAGGTACATATATACAATCATATATACCTCTTTACATCTTTATACGAAATTTCTGGTATAAATTTTTGAAGATCCTTTACTGCCAATGGATAGAAAATTGATTTAATTATTTCTGTAACTCCAGGTACAAAGTACCTGAAGCAGAGCTTATACAATCCAGGAAATTTGGCCATTTCTATGCAATCTCTTATGTTGATATTATTCCATCTAAATGCACAAAATAACAGGACTTCGATGAGCATCTTTCACTCTTACAATTTTTCAATGAACTTTCCTGCTGATCCTTACTTGTAACCTTCTCTAGATAACGCCAAAATTGCATTCGGGCCTAGCCACATTTCACCATTTATTCTAGGCGTAAAGTGTACGCCCAAGAACGGTAATTTTGGATTAGGTACCGGATATATGTTCGTTGTACATAAATGTGTTTTATTTTTATTTAGAAGAAGGTATTCGCCTCGGAAGGGAACTATCCGTGGATTTTGATCGCATCCTGTCATGACGGCTAAACGATCCGAATGTAGACCAGCGCATGTTAATACATATTTCGTTAAAATAAACTGAAATAAATTACAGAATGATCATCGGTAAGAATTTATAAAACTTTCGTCACATTAAAGGAGAAATAAGTGCACCTTATTTTTAGACTGAACGATTATAGGTGCAAGTTGTCCTCTTATTTGCGATTCCACCATTTCTGCGAATCCTTCAACTTCATAATTAAGCAATATTTCACCGCCCAATTTTTGAAAATCTTTGCCAAAGTGATTACAAACCTCAGCCCAATCTACAATTCCCGTCCATGGCGACCAAATGGCCTTTTCACCCTAAAAACAAAAATCTGTTTTGCCCTTATCGATATTGGGAAGTTTTCATATATCGTTACATTCCTTATCTTAACAAATACTCAATTTTATAATCATACTGTATTTAATAATAATAGTATTTACCTTACATTTTGCTTCGTAATTTGAGATGCACTCTTTATCGACTAATTGAAGATCAGGTACATTATTTTTCAAGCCTCGTTCGAAAAGAACATTTATCAAATCAACCTGTTGGTGATTCTGAGCTACTATCAATTTACCTATCTTTTTATGAGGTATATCGTTCTTGCATAAATAGTCATATGTCAGTTTTAAACCTTCGACACACAGCTTCGCCTGCAATCATTGGCTACCAGATCAAACATTTCTTAAGAGAGTGTTGCTCAATCATTTGGAATCGATCGAGATTAGGATTGATATAAAAAGTAATTATAAGTTATTATAGATCAAATTTATTTCGTTAAAAGTATCATTTTTTTTCCTATATTACCTTTATACTACCAGGCATATAATAAATGCCACAGTGAATTACACCACTATTGTGGCCTGTTTGATGTTTCGCTAATGCATTTTCTTTTTCTACTATAATTATTTTCAAATTAGGATGTCTTATTAACATTTCACGCGCCGTAGCACATCCCACGATTCCACCACCAACGACAACGAGATCGTATATGTTGCAAATATCATTGCTAAGAAATATAATGATTCATTAATTAATTTTATTTTAATTTATTTATTTTTTCAAATTATAATATTTATTACAGTAAAAATGAAAACTTCTTAAAAGAAGAGAAAGAAAGAAAGAGAGCAAGAGAGAGAGAAAGAGGTAGAGAGAGAAGGGGTGAAGGAGAGAGATCAAGTTTAAAACTAACCTTGACATGCACGTATAACGACGTATCAGACAATTTAAATTCGACGATATCGTTGGTCTTATCAATAAACTTAAAATGTTTCCCGTCATTCTGGTCTCTTTCTTTTTACAAATTTGATGTTATAATGTTTCTGAAAAAAATATGTACGAACATCTCGATCAAATGTGTAAGCACATCTTGATCATCCGGAAAAGAATTTTTCTTTTTTCTTTTTTCTTTCTTTCTTTTTTTTTTTTTTTTTTTTTTTAATAACGAGTTCATTAATTCTATCGTCGTTTCTAATCATTGTTCAGTTGTTCTATGACTATAAATTTATTTATATAACCATTCTCGCGATATTTTCTTT